GGCCTGTGGCTCACTCGGGAGAGTGCGGTGCTGACAACACCAAGGCCAAGGGTTCAGATCCTATATAGGGATGGCCGGTTGGCTCACTGGTTGAGCGTGGTGCTGACAACACCAGCCAAGGGTTGAGATCCCCTTACCAGTCATCTTTATATAGGATTAAAAAAAAAAAAAAAACTAGAAAAAGAGAAAATTTCCAAATTAGGCAGGAAAAAAAAAAAAACGAGCAGGAATACACTAAAGAGAAAACAGAAAAAAAAAAAATTTAAGGCAAGCCAGTGAAACCAAAAGCTGGTTCTTTGAGCAGAACAATGAAATTGATAAACTCCTAGCCAAACTGATCCAGAAAAAGAGAAGACACAAACTGCTAACATCAGGAATGAGAAAAGAGGATATCATTATTGATAGTAGATACTAAAAGGATACTCTGTGCTAATAAATTCAACAAGAGATGAAATGGACAAATGCCTTGAATATGCTACCAAGGCTCACTCAGAAGAGATAACCAGAATAAAAATAAAATAGGCAGCCAAAATGGTCATATCATGATCCAGACTATTTTAAGCAAGGTTATTATTTTTCCATGAGATAATTATGATCACGCCATCATTCAGAAACATCAAACTACTTCAAATTATTTCTAATTTCCTAATCCACCACTGTAAACTCCTAGCTCTTAAGTGCAATATTCTGGAAACCTAGAAATTCTGTATCTGGCCTTGTCCTTAGTAAGCTTAAGACAAGTGGCTAAGTCATAGATGACAGTCGAATTCTGACTGCAACCAAACTGGAGTACTGCACCAGAGAAAAATTACCCTTAGTTTTCAGCAGAGGCTGCCCTCAGGAACAAACTCTCCAGAAGGTAATCAACTCTGATGTGGCTCTGGGATGCATAGAGTAGGGTTTTAAACAATTCCTGCTGCTGGGATTTCCATTAAATTCATCTTGAGACACAAACCCTTCTAACACAAAGAAAAGGTACCTGGAATGGACCAACATTTTCTCAGAGAAGACCAGTGTTAAGAGGTAATATTCACACCAAATCCTCACTACCTCCCCCCATCAGAAAAATTATTTCCTAATTAAGTTGATTCAATTAAGTCTTATGAACTTTTGAAATCATACTTAAACATTTCAACTTGAGAAGAACATTGTCATAACAACAGACAATGGGTGAATCGCTCTTTTGGAAGTATTAGATAATCATAGTATTTTTCTTTTTTAAAACAAAAACTTTGCTAAATATAACAGCACCTAAAAATAGTGAAATGCACAAGTTTCTTCTAATCCTGAAGCTTCCTTTTCACTCTCAGGTAATAGAAGACATCTTCCCTTTACACTGGAATGATTACCTCTTTAAAAATAAAAAAATAGCGGGCTGGCCCGGTGGCGCACTGCTACAGTGCGCCGCTTGGGAAGCGCTCCCGCCGAGGGTTCGGATCCCACATACAGACCCGCCGCTCACTGGCTGAGCGAGGTGTGGGCGACACCACACCAAGGGTTGCAATCCCCTTACCGGTCACGAAAAAGACAAAAATAAAATAAAATAAAATAAA